AGGTGAATTGGGTAGGCTAAATTGTCTGTAGTGTATGAGTGTATGAGTGTGTGAATGTGTGTGTGGATGGGTTGTGGCTGGAAGTGCATCCGCTGCGTAAAAACTTGCTGGATAAGTTGGTGGTTCATTCCACTGTGGCGACCCTGGATTAATAAAGGGACAAGCTGACAAGAAAATGAATGAGTGAGTAGGAATATAGTATTATATCTCATTATCGTGTTTTCATCCATTGCTTGGCCAGTGGAATAGCAGCAATCTCCTAACAGTTTTATATTTTAAAAGGGTGATAAATGAAGAGGTTATTTTATATTTTGTTCAATATACTGTATGTCTTTTTTTGCAACTCAAATCTTCAATATCTAATGTAAAAACCTTATGTCTGCAAACTACTCAAATCTCCAGTTTTAGTCATTTCCATAAATCATGTTTTTGCAATTGCTCTTTAATGCACAGCATAAAACATGATATCTCTAAAAAAATAAGCTGTTTTTTGCAAATAAACTCTTCATATATATCTTGCTGCTGCCACGTAACAGGAGTCTGAAGTTTTTGACCAGTATAGATTGGAGTATTATTAAATATTTGTGTCTCATTTACTGTGACTTTGACATCTCTTCATTAATTGTACAATGCATCTGCACATCAACTGCTAGCATTTGAAACTGCCTGTATTAAAGTATTGTAGGAATCACCACTGTAGGACTTATTTGTATGTTGTTTTTCTTATTTTCTTGACATCTACATCAGCAATCCATCCAAACCTATTATTATTTGTGCAGTTTACTCATTCTCCCAAGGTTTTTCAGTTCTTCTTTAACTGGAAACAGGCCCAGTTTACCCAATTAGTAAACACCAGAACACAATTTGTAGGTGTTTTATATTTCTATAGTTTCTCTGCATTTCCACCCGCAGCATGAGACTAATAATGATTATGTGCTGCTCATCCTATTCTTAAGGACTGATATTTTATTCCATCTAATTTCTTAAGCAAAGATGCTGATGCCAAATTGTACACTAAACTGCCATTACATATTACTGGTTTTAGCACTGTGCAGTATACTATTTTCAATGATTGTGGACTTGTTCCCATATTTACCCATGCCATTTGTCAGTTGTTTTCTTTGGGCTTTATCATACACCCGGCGCAATAAGAAGCAAGATGTGTTTGCCGCAACGTGTTGCTATTTTCAGACCAACGCAACCTTGTTTTCCCATTTTGCACCACGTTGTTTAAACAGTAAATCCATTTGCACCACTGTGTGGACTCATAAGTGTTCTGCATCAAAAAGGAGAGGTGTTAAGGCACATTATCGGAGCGTTGCTATTTTGAGGAACTAATATAGACTGCTTAATTGATCAGCTGAAAGCAGGTCTAAAGTCCAGAGCAGAGCACATTAGTTATCTGACTTAAAAGCATACACATTGCTTAATACACACAGGATGTACAGCAAAACCCAAATATATTTACATAAAAAAAAAAAAAGATTTAAATCTTTAAAATGTTACTGAAATTAGTATTTTCTACATAAATATAAAAAACACTACCTCCATGCCTTCTTCATGTCGGGGGACTTTTTTCAGTTTATTCATGATAATCTGCATTTGTATAATGTTTTTTTTTTTTTTTTTTTTAGCAGTATTATTTGTTATAAGCATATTTATATTTGTTTTAATAAAAACAAGTTTAGATTTGTCCACCTGTGGGGTTTTGGAGATGTACAGTATGCATCACCATATGGGGCAAAAGAATAGGACATGTAGTTGGATAAATGACCACACTTAGTTATTATTGTTTATTTATTCCTTTGCTGGTAATTAGAACTAAATTTAGAAATAGTTATAAAACAAATCCTTGCGCTTAACAAACAAAATTAAATATATAGGCTGATGAGTGTCTTCAGTGGAGTGCGTACAACATTGTTTCCTTACTCCATCAAAGTTAAGGCATAAAGAGAAAGTAAAGAGGCTGAATGGGGGAGACACATTCTTTATTCTTGCTGCAAATGCTCTGTTTAATTGTTTTCTCACTAGTAAAGCATTCAGTTTTTCCATTCACTTTTTCCACTTACAAAATCACCATGTAAATAATAAATGCACTACAGTGGGACGCAATTGACTCTTAACAGGAATTAGAGATGAGACTCTGTTTGGTTTAATGCACATTATGCTCAAGACAAACCCAGAACTCATTAAGAGAATAAGTAAAACCCTGTTAGGCCATGTGCCGTGGTGCAAACCATATTTTTCCATCCTTAAAATAGCAAAAGTGGATTCGGACATGGCCTTAATGCTTTTGTACCATGCGATTTAGACTTTCCGTCTAGAACAGAGATGTCCAAGCTCAGTTCTGGAGGGCCGGTGTCCTAAAGAGTTTAGCTCCAACCCTTATCAAACACACCTGAAGCAGCGAATCAAGCTCTTACTAGATGTACAGTATTAGAAACCTCCTGGCAGCTGTGTTGAAGCAAGTTGGAACTAAACTCAGTAGGACACCGGCCCTCCAGGACAGAGTTTGGACACCCCTGGTTTAGATCATTAAAATTGAACCCTTTATGTTGTTGCGTAATTTCCATTCTTACTCCAAACATTGACCACCTTCTTAATCAATTTTCTGTTCAGATCTCAAGCCTTGGCAAATAACTGAGAAAGCACCTGAAGCCCCATTTTTACAGTATTTTAAAATACAAAAATACAAGACAATAAAGTATTTTGATAACAAATATTAACCCATTTTCATAAACCCCATAAAATATAAATTACAAAATACTATTTTGTATTTAAAATATGTATTTTATATACATGCATCATAAATACTGCCAATCCCTGTCTGTTATTTTCTTTTTGTGTTGCATAATTTCCATCTATACTCCAAGTATTGCCAACCTTCTTAATCAATTTTCTGTTCTGATCTCAAGCCTAGGCAAATAACTGAGAAAGAATTAATCTGAGGGCACATTTATATGATGTCATCATATATTGCAGACTTTCTTACAAAGTATTTTACTGTCTTTAAAAAATACAAAAATACAAGATGGAGACGCAGTGGCGCAGTAGGTATTGCTGTCGTCTCACAGCAAGAAGGTGGCTGGTTCAAGCCTCAGCTGGGCGAATTGGCATTTCTGTGTGGAGTTTGCATGCTCTTCCTGCGTTCCTGTGGGTTTCCTCCGGGTGCTCCTGTTTCCCCCAGAGTCCAAAGACATGTGGTACAGATGAATAGGGTAGGCCAAATTGTCTGTAGTGTATGATTATGAATGAGTGTGTATGGTTGTTTCCCAGAGATGGGATGTGGCTGGAAGAGCATCCACTGCGTAAAAACATGCTGGATAAGTTGGCAGTTCATTCCGTTGTTGCGACCCCGGATTAATAAAGGGACTAAACCGAAAAGAAAATGAATGAATAAATGAAAAAATACAAGACACTAAAGTATTTTGATACTTAATATTCATGCATTTTCATAAACCCTATCAAATACAAATTACAAAATACTATTTTGTATTTAAAATACGTATTTAAAATACATATATCATAAATAATGCACATCCCTGATAATGACAATATAGTGTGCAACTTGGAATCAGCATCTTTGCTTAGGAAATGAGATGGAATTAAAACAGGATGAGAAGCCTTCAGAACATCATCAGTCTCTGTCTCAGGGCTGCAGTGGAAATGCAGAGAACCTTTAGAAATATAAAAGACCTAAAGATTGTGTACTAGTGTTCACTAAGGTGGTAAAGTGAGACTCTTTCAGTTAAAGAAGAACAGAAAACATCTTGGGAGAATGAGCAAACTGCACAAATAATAGCATTTTGGATGGATTGCTGATGAAGATGCCAGAAAATAGGAAAACCATAATAAAAATATAGTGATAGAGGTATAGTTGGTTTTATATTTGCCTATTCGTTCATTTAGAAGTCTATATAGTTTATCATGTTACTTTCGAATACTTGTTTGGAATTAGCATGCAAGTGTGGCTTGAAAACAGTGTTTATTTGACTGTCAACAATGTTGTACTTTGATATTCATTTGCTGCTAATATGATTTTGCTTTTTAGAGTTTGCGAATAATACTTTTATGAATTATGTTACTAAGGGGAAAATCCGAATGTGCGAATATAATATCTCTATCTCTAACCTCTATCTATAGTGGCGATACTTACAATACTTCATTGGCTGTTTCAATGCCAGTGGCTGATCTGCAGGTGCACTGTATAGCTAATGAACAGAAAAGATGTCTTCCTGAAGATGTCAAAAGTGGCACAATACCGTATGAGACACAAATATTTAATAATATTCCAGTCTATAGAGAATGGTCAAAAACTCTAGACTCCAGATTTTTTGATATACAATCTATACTAAAATCAAAGAGAAACATTTCTTATGAACGCCTCCTCGTGTACAGGAGTAGAGAAAAAGGAGTTGCAGAGAAGCTGACTTCAACTAGTTGTTACCAAGTTTATCACTAAATCTGTTTAATGAAGGCATTGATCAAGTAGGCCTATTAATAGAAGGTTTGTTAAGAAATGTCATGCTCCCTTGTAGAAGTATTTTGTAGTATTTTCAAAATACAAATATTTTATTTTGTTTTTATTCAAAACTACAGTGTTTTATTTTATAGTTTATTTTAATACACTTAAAATTGATACACTTATACATTCATCGCAGAAAGTAAAAATCCCAACAGCACAATTACTGCAATAACACTTTTATTATAAAGTACACAAGGTACACAATTGTAGGAAAACAACAAGCTGTTTTCCTCTCATGATACAGACTCACCCCTCTAGTGTTAGGTGATCTCGTAGAGCTTCAAATGGCGGCCAAATAAACTGTGAGGCTTGCATAATCAACAAGCAACCATGACAAAAGGAATGTTAAAGCGAGTATTTGGGAATTAATATCTGATTTAAGATACATATTAAGCAGAGATGCACGCCAAGCTCCACCACCCAGCCCTGACACCCATCCAGATGACGTCACTTCGGGTGTCGTCATAAACACTACCGATGTGGACGCGAGATTCATTCGGGGTTTGTAAACCAACGAGCTGCAAGAATCCAACATGGCAGGATGGGAACGCAAACAAACAGACGTGGAAAAAGGAATTGTGGTTTGTGCGTTTGTTAAACTAAAAACACTGCGGGAGAACACATTCATTCGCCAGTTTTGTGAAGCAAAGTTGGCGTATTTGACTTTACTAAAGAACGTGTAAAAGTAACTAATGTGCAACTTTGTAACACGTGAACAAAATGCTCAGCAGAACTGTTTCATTTAGATCCCAGATGACTGGCCTGGATACCCGCTGGACCTGTTTACATTTCCTGAGCATTACTCCGAGGATCTGGACTGTGTCTACATTCCACACGGTGTTATCATGGACAGGTACTGTAAATGTGGTTAGGTCGTCATTTAACCACTTACCGAAGACGTCCACTGAACGCAATAGACTGTCTGTTTTCAATTATTCCAACTAATAATTATAGTAATAGGAAGAAATAAATACATATTTCAGTTTTAAATGACGTTTAGTTCCCAGAGTTTTACTTCCCTCTGCGCATACAACATAAAGCTGTATTGCAGTTTTATGAATATATGTATTTTAAAATGATCTAAACTTTCACTGTAACTTAATATTATTTTCTTTAAGTCAATTTCAGCAATGCGGTTATTTAAAAGTTCAAAAATATTTTAAACACAAGTATTATAATGATAAATTAAGATAAATAAAATATCCTCAATATGGTCTTTTTTATTAAAAAAATATTGAAATAATGGTTGAACATTATTTTTTTATGTAACCAAATTTACTAATATTATAATGATAATTGAGTGATGCAGTGATTTGCTGACTTTAAGTTTGGCAGAGTCAATTGCATGTGATTTTTTTTATTGTAATTACACTACATTTATGACCAGCATTGCATTAATATTTACATTAGTGGCTTACTGAATTCTTATTTTCCAGATAGATAGATAGATAGATAGATAGATAGATAGATAGATAGATAGATAGATAGATAGATAGATAGATAGATAGATAGATAAAAACAGAATTGCCAAGATAGAACTAAGAACAGTGTAGAATTTTCCACAATATTTTAAAATTGTATGTGATCCCTGACTAATTCATTAAGGAAATAATGTCATACTACTAAGCAGTAAACAGAAGAAAATCCCACTAGAAATTGTATGGTTTTAACAGTAATGATGTGAACTACAGCATGTCTTCTTAATTATTTAATTGTTGACCCATTCATTACACTTATATATACATACATACATACATGCATACATTTATATATACATACATACATACATGCATACATACATACATACATACATGCATACATACATGAACATTTGCATTTGAATCACTCAGTTATAAATTGATAATATGGTTATAACTCAATGGTTCTAAATTGATGCTAAAGCATTATCACCATATTGGCGTTGCTTTTATTTTTCTTGTATCTCTGTAATACAAACACTTCTTATATATGAAAGAACAATTAGACCTTGTTGTGCTGCAGTGTTTTTTTTTTTCTCAGGATAGAGAGGTTGGCAAGAAATATCATGGATGATCTTGGGGACCATGACATTGTTGTCCTGTGCGTGCTAAAGGGAGGATATCAGTTCTGTGCTGACCTGGTGGACTGCATTAAAGTCCTGTGTTGCAACTCCAACAAGACCCTTCCCATGAGGGTGGACTTCATACGACTCAAGAGCTACCTGGTGAGTGTTTTTTTTTTTTTTTTTTTTTTTTTTTTTTTTTTTTTTTAAAGGTCTTTCAGGTATTTTGTTCAATTTATGCATTTTTGTCAAATATCACTACTTACTTAGCTCATTCCTTAAAAGCTTTATGTACTAACACGGTGTGAAACTACTTAGATCATATGATGAATCACAAGTTTCATTCACACATGTATGTTAATATTTGCTTTACAAATGACGCATTGTTTCTGATTATCTCAGTGTGACGTCACAGCTCTAATCAATTATAGACTTCTTGCACGTAAATTGTTGTTTTATCTGCTCACCAAGGCTTTATTTATTTGCTAAAATCTGTAAAGATACATGTTTTTAATTGTTTTTGTTATAATTTAAAAATAAATGTTTTGTATTTTCATAATCTGTTCAAATATATTTTAATTCTTGTGATGACCAGTGTTGGGGAAAGTTACTTTTGAAAATAATTCATTGCAATATTGAATTACTTGCCCAAAAAGTAAGTAATTCCATTACTTAGTTACTTTTTATGGTAGGTAATGCGTTATGTTACTTTCTATTACCTGACTAAGGCTTTATCTCTTTTAGAACTTTTTTTTTCTTCTTTTTTTAAATAGAGGAGCTCTGCAATTAACAATGCACTGTATAACATACACCTTTGTTTAAATTTAAAAAACATAACAAAAAATATTTTAGGAAAATGTTATCTGAGAAGTTTCTAACCCCAGAGCTCTACTTGCCATTTATATAGATTATTGAAGTATAAATTATATAAGTTTAAATCAATGCGTTTGCTACTTTTGTACTATTTGTCTTAAGTAAAATCACCGTCCATTCAGACCATCCCCTTTACCTTTTTTTCAATGTGTTCAAAATAATGAACTCATTGACTGCGTGATTCATTGTGACTATTTTTAATTCAGCAATTTATTTTTTAAAGAGCTAATTATTTAAACTAATAAGTAACTCATGTTACATTTTCAAAAAAGTATCTTAAATATTATTATTTACTTTTTTAAAAGTAATGCGTTACTTTACTTGCTACTTAGAAAAGTAATGTTATTATACAACTCATGTTATTTGTAATGAGTTACCCCCAACACTGGTGATGATGTTTTACTTTTCACCATTGTTACTCTAATTTTCAGTGTCACATGATCAGATCCAGAAATCATTCTGTTATTCTTGATTAAGAGACCTTATTATTATTTTCAATTATTATTTTGAACTGAGCTAAACTGAACTGAACTTAAACACTAAAAACTGAACTACTCTGTTCCAATTTACTATGACCATTTATGTGAAGCTGCTTTGACACAATCTACATTGTAAAAGCTTTTATACAAATACAGCTGAATTTAATTGAATTGAAAAAAAAAATGCAAGAATAACAGTCATGCCTATATGCAAATTGTGCCGATTAGATAGTATTTTTACGTCATTAGAAAGTTCAAAAGAATAAGATTTACTTTAAAATAAGATATTTTGTAACAATATTAATGAGCAATTGCTTGCAAATGTCAACCTTCCCATGAAAAAAATAAAGTTTTCACCAAAATAGCGAAACTCTTTTTGCATTGTTTACTTAATCTTATTTTACAGTACTGTAAAAATACTCAAAAACGTCTCTGTCAATGTTTTCAAACTGTTATATTTGATTTACCAAATTTCCCTTTTTTTGACAACCATAATGGAGCTTTTTCCTCAAATGCAAAAAAAATATCAAATAAAATCAATGATTTTTGTTCTACAGTAAACCAACTCTTATCTTTTGCTTCTCATTATTTATTTTGCGTTGTGCAGTTTAATCGACAGAATTTCTACAAATTATGTTGTAAACTGTAAACTTGTATCCTTCTTTGGTCACATCCATGACGCATGTTTATTTTCTTCATTTAAAATCTAAAACATGTTTACAGATTGATATTTTCTGATCCTATAACTCCGTGGTTAGTTGTTTTGGAAAATATAAACGGATATTCAATATAATGTCAACATACTTTCTCTGTGAGGTTATATTTTAAGTTTTTACTGCAAATGTCAGATCCGTAACAATGGGATTGCTCAAACGTCTTTGCAGTTACTTTCAATATAATGCATCGTTTCTGAATAAGTGTTCCATTCTTTTCAAAATAATTGTTTTGGTTTAATTTTTCACACTTTTAAAATAATGCGAGACCTTTAAGAAATTTCAGTGTCTTCTAAAAATTAATCAATCACAAAAGTCAAATGTCTTTAAATATTTTATTCAGAAAAATATAGTACTTTAATATATTAGTAAAATGTACAAAATGATTGAAAGGTTTACATATTATTCCCCGTTATTATAAATATTTTTTTTTCTCTGAAGCCCTGCTAAAGAAATGAATTAAATTTTTGTAAGAGGATTGACTGCAATATCTTTGTTTGGTCAACAGAGGGCGTCATGACTTTATATCTGTCATTCTCCTTATCACAGCTCTCATCTTTGGGATGAAGTCAGTTGATTTCCCAGTTCAGCTTTGAGGGCATTTTTCCTTAGAACTGCTGACTTTACAAAGTTTACAATAAAGTAAAAATAGTCTATGGGTTTTTCCTAGTGTTGGGTTGTGGCTGGAAGGGCATCTGCTGCGTAAAACATATGCAGGATAAGTTGGCAGTTCATTCTGCTGTGGCGACCCCTAATTACTTAAGGGACTAAGCTGAAAAGAAAATGAATAAATACATGAATTTTTCAGGAAAGCACTCACTTAAAGGCACAGTTAAAAAAAAAAAGAGTTACAAATAAAAATTTTCATCATTTACTTGCCCTTCACACTTGTTCAGAACCTATTCGAGTTTCTTGCTTTTGTGGAATACAAATGAAAATATTTTGAAGAACGTCAGTTGCTGTGACCCATTTACTTCCATAGTATTTTTTGGGGAAAGTCGATGCATCTCAGCAAACAGAACTTTTTAAAAAATCTTCTTTTGTGTTGAACAGAGGAAAGAAACTCATACATTTTGAACACATAAGGGGGATAAATCACGAGGTCATTTTCGTTTTTGGGTGAATTATACCTTTAATTAAAACTTAAAGAAATCTCTAGGCTTGGTTACTTTAAAATATATAATGTTTTTTTCAGACACCATTAATTTATTTTTAATTTGAAGTTTTTTTATGTCTATGTATAAAAAAGTAATGATTATACTAATAGCATTTGTATTTAATCTTTTTTTTTTTTTTTTTTTTACCAGAACGATCAGTCAACCGAAGATCTCCACATAGAAGGGGCAGAGAACCTGTCTGCGCTCAGTGG